GTCTGAAAATGTTGGGGGGTTGGGGGAGGGGAGCAGGGAGGGCAGGAAATTCAGGATGGAGACACTGGACTGGCTTGTTCATGCCCTGAAAAGCAACACTGGCATTACCGTTCAGTCATATGACAGCCATATGAATGACCGAGGGATATCAGGGTGGATAATGAAAAGAGCAATGACCAGAGAATCAGAAGGCCAAAGATCTAGTCTTGGGTTTTCTATTGCATGACCCTAAGAAAGAGACTGTCACCTCTCTGGGCCTCGATGTCCTCTTCTGGGCGAAGTGAGGGGTTAGCAATGTGTCTAAAGCAAGGGGTTCATACCCTAGGGTCTGTGAACTTGTTTTTTAAAAACAGTATTTCAATATAATTGGTTTCTTTTTTGATTCTACGAATTATATTTTATACACTTTTAAAACTTGATGGTGAAAAGGGGTCCAGAACACAAAAAAATGGCTAAGAATCTCTGGTTCAAAGGTTGTGAAAATGCTAAAACTGTGACATATGAATACAGTGCCTCCCCGTATTAAGTGACCAAAAAAAAGGCTATGAAAAAAGATGATTCAGAATAAAGGACAATCAGAACAACATCCTACTGACGGTAACTATGCAAGAACAATAGGGGGAAAATATGTAGAAGGAAAAGAGTTCAAAAGGTGACACAGAAATCAAGAGATTATTTTGTTATCTTTTTAAAGTCAATGTGCACTTAAAATACTGCAAATAAAGAGTTTATGGTTTTGTGCATAATGTACTTTCCCCTTATTTCTATATGTGACTGTTTTCTAGTAGTTTAGAACAGATGACAAAACTTCATTGAAAAAGTAAATCAAATGAATGCTTTTTACTAGATTATGTATGGGATATATATTTGAACTCTAACCTTGATAATTTAATATGCAGCAGAAGAGTACTGTGGAAAGAACACAGATTTTGGGTCTTTGTGACCTTGGGCACATCACTTCATCTCTTACTGAGGCTCAGTTTCCTAACCTATGGAATGAAGTACTTAGACTTGACTTAGTGTCAAACTCAAACAGAAATGGAGCTCCTAACCCTTATATAAGGATCCCTGGAGGCTGCAGACTGACTCAGAAAACCACATACTAACATTACCTATGTTCTATTATATTTTTATTTTGCTAAGTATTTCTAAATTACATTTTAATATAGCCCACTAAAGTAGTGTGGGCTGTGTGTTCAATCCCTCAGAACTAGGTGACCTCTATGGGCATTCCTGGATACAGATCTAAGATCTTCTCATCCTGTAATAGGAAGAGAAACAATGGGTGGGGTGCTTAAGATTTAAGATGACGTCTGGCTGCTCTACATGCTCATCCTTTGTGGTGGGGTCCCTCAGCCAAAGTTTTCAGACAGGAACAGACCCCTTCTTTGCCCTAGCATTTCTACCTGGACTAAAACTATGGAGAAGAATGCTTCACAAAAGATGCTGAGTTCCTGGGGAGTAGTTGCCAGCATCTGCTCAGAACAGTTTGCTCTTGTGATGGAGCTATTTTAATTTCATCACTCTTACATGATTAACTTGTAGCACGCAACGGAGGCAGTGCTCAACTTTGACTCAGGGGGCTTGTCTTCTGATCCCAGTTGAACTGTGTACTAGCTGGGTGACCCTGCCCAAGTCATAGAGCCATAGGATAAAGTCCCAAGGTATGTCATGTCTAATTCTTTGTGACCCCATTTGGGGTTTTCTTGCCAGAGATACTGGAGTGGTTTGCCATTTCCTTCTCCAGCTCATTTTGCAGATGAGGAAACTGAGACCAACATGATTATGTGACTTGCCCTAGGTCACACAATTAGTGAGTGTCTGAGGCCAGGTTTGAACTCAGGAAGATGAGTCTTCCTGATTTTAGGACTGGAACTCTATCCAGTATACCACTGTAAATGGTAGGGCTGGGATATGAACTCAGGTCTGACGACTCCATGGTCAGCACTTAAGTTTATCACTCTTTCTATTGTGCCACATTGCCTTAAAGAGCTTTGGTTTCCTCATTTGTTAAAAAAAAGGGGGGGAGGGGCATAATTACATTTGCATTACTTAACTCTGTGTGGTGTTGATTATTTAACCTCTCTGGGTCTCATTTCCTCACTTGTAGAATGACGGTTGGATTAGATGGTCTCTCAAGGTTTCTTCGTGCTCTAAGTCTACGATCTAATGATTCCTATAGTAGACATTAAAAGGTGAAGCAATGCAACAGGATAGTTTTCAAGACCCCTGGGCTTCTATGCTCACTTGGACTAATAGAAGACTTTGGATAATCTATTGTGTCCAGGAAAGACTTCTTTTAAGTTTTTTAAGGGGGGCACGTTTATCCTCAACTTTTCTTCAATTTTCTAAGTAGGAATTTGAAGTATGAATGTAATGAATGCTGATGACACTCATTTGGAGCAATGCTTTTATTTGATACCTGGAACTTTAAAAGACCAATTTTGACCTTCCCCTAGGATATCTCAGCTCTGAAAACTAGTTCTACTCTGCTAGACTTTCCTTCTCACAATCAAAGGCGATGAACACCATGTTCCAGAATGGAAACTTTGAAGTCACTGTAATTTTGAGGTCATTTAAAAAATGTAAGATAATGAAAGCCGTCTGAGGATAGATATCTGGAAAAAGCTTTATCAAAAGGGTCTTGGCAAGTTAGGGAGGTGGAGGAAGAGTAAAGAATCAGCAACAGTTACTAAAAACCCAACTGAGAGAATAATAGATCTCCAAAGTGCAAGAGTCCTTACTTTTGCAAATCAATTAAGAAATGGAGCACAAGTATAGATAGGGGAAGAGCTCCTATCAAACAAAGGATAGTGAGGACCACAAAAGAGAAAATGGACAATTTTGATCACATCACATACTTAAAACTTGCTTGCACAGTCAAAACTTTTGTAATTAAAATTAGAATGGAAATAGTTGACTGGGGAAAAAAAATCACTGTAGCATGTTTCTCTGATAAAAGCCTCATATCCAAGACACCCAATGAACTGATTCAAATTTGTAAGAACAAGAGTCATACCTCAATAGATAGAATGGGTGAAGGAAACGAACATGTAGTTTTCAAAGGAAGAAATTCTAGCTAAAAAAAATGTTCCAAATCATTAATATTTAGACAAAATTGAGTCAAGGTTCTACATTATAATTATTTGATTGGTAAAAGTGAGAGAAAAAGAAACTGACAAATGTTGGAATGGTTAATGAAAAAGAGGCATGTTAATGGGCTATTGGTGGAATTGTTAAATACTCCAGCTATTCTGGAAGGCAATTTGGAAAGTCACTAAATTGTGCATCACCTCTGAACCAACAATAACACTAGTAGGCCTATACGTCAAAGAGTTAAAAGAAAAAGGATCTGTATGTACAAGAATATCTGTAGCAGCTCTTTTCATAGTAGCAAAGAACTGGAAACAAAGTCATTGTCCATCAATGGAAAAATGTCTGAACAAATTATGTTACATGAATATAATGGAATATTATGCTGTAAGAAATAATGAAAGGAATGGATAGTTTCAGAGAAACTTAGGAAGACTTAAATGAAGTTTATGAAAAATGAAATGAATAGAACTGGGAAAAGAATCTATACAGTAACAATAACATTATGAGGAAAAACAACTTTGAAAGACTTCAAAACTGATAAATGCAATGACCAACCATGATTCTAGAGAACCAATGGCGGAGCCTGCTACTCATTTCCTGAAAGAAAGACAATGAACTCAAGATTCAGAATAAGCCATACAGTTTGAGATATGGATACTGTGGCAATTTGTTTTGACTGACTATGCATATTTGTTTTAAGAGTTTTGTTTCTATTTTTATAATTTCTCTTTCTAATGGGGGATGTTGGTGATGGAGAAGATAGGAACAGGGTAGCCAAAAATTTAAAGGAAAAGGAAAAAAAAAAAAGGGAAAGCCGAGGGTGGGGGTGGGGAAACCACCGACAAGGAAGAAAGCTATGGTAATTACATTTGAATTTATTTGAAAAAGAAAAACAAGCTGTACACAAGAGAGATTCATTGTTTTGGGTACAATCCCATTTTTCCATTCAACTATGTACTTGGAAATGCCCACTTTATTTGGTGTTTGTTAAGTTCAGAATAAAAAAAAAAGTGGAATTTGAAAGCTCTTAAGGTATTTGTCCATTTTCTGGTAGCTCTAGCTTTCAGACAGACTGAAGAACCATCTAGGAATGGTAGAGAGAGAATCAAGAGTTATGGTTAGGCCCATAAGAAGGCTTGGGGGCTCCACAAACAAAAGGAAAGCTCTGAAGCAGCTTTCCGAGGAATGAGAAATAAATCAACGATGTTACTGTTCTGGGTAGAAGAAATGATAACCAAATGCAATGGTAAATATAGAATTTAGCTATACTTAGAGCTTAAAAAAGAGGAAGAAACTGAATGAGTCATACAGTTGTCCAAGGATCAAGCAGTCAAAAACTCATTTTAAACTAAGCCTGCAAAATCAATGAAGTTTAGAATTTAGTAAAGATTGCACAGATTTGGAATCAAGAGATTTGGGCTCAAATTCAATCCTGGACACTTACTAGGTATGTGAACACAAGCAATTCATTCAACCACTTACAGCCCGAGTTTCCTTATCTGTAAAATGGACAAATACATTTCAAGTAAAATAATATTCATACTACTTACCTCTCAGGGCTGTTGTCAGCAAAATACTTCACAAATTTTAAATCACTAAAGAAATGCGAGTTATTAGGATTAAAAGGAGAAAAAAGTCATGAGGGAAAAAAACTGTAACTTCAAATTCAATACAGTAAACCATTATTAAATGCCTACATATTCACTTAAAACATAATGTAAATGCATAAACAATCAACTTTCATAAACTACCCAAAGTCCAAGTGTTCATTTCCACTACTGACAAGGAACACATGCAGTACAGGTAGCAACAAGAGGCTAGAACCAAGTATTTAAAGACATTATAAGAGAAAACAATTGTCACAGTGACACAGTATGACCCCTTATTTTTTTTTCCCCTCTTACCTTGCAGCTGCTGCTAAGAGATTTTTTGCATTAGGGGCTCCTGGATCAACGGAGAGCGATTTAGCAGCTAGCAACAGCTTACTGGATGCCATGGAGATATTCTTGAGGTTACCTATCACTTGGATCTGGTCCTCTTTAGTCTGGAAAGTCAAAAGGAACCACACTAACTACAGTCTGTATATCATCCCTGGGACTCACAGGGCCACAGGGAGCATTCTGAAATAGAAGTAAGTTATCTGTACAGATCCCATTATGCAGACCCTGTCTCCAGATGCCTGCCTCTGTAAGATGCTGACCAGAGAATGCCCTTATCCAGAGAGATGCCCCTCTACACATCACGTTCTAGGGACAGGAATCTATCCTGAAGCAACCAAGTGTCTGACAGGAGCTGAGTTCCTAACCGCGTGCATGCAGACACACTCCCCACAAACAATTCCAGCAACTTGCTTAACAATGCCTGGGTTGTCAAGCAGCTTGTACATCTCAGCCTGGCACAAACGACCCACATTGTTTCTATTTTCAGGGCTGATTACATTCCGGCAGTTTCTACACAGTGAAAAGACACATTTCTCACCTGGCCTAGCATCTGAAAATTAAAAAAAAAAAAAAAAGAAAAAGAAAAGAAAAAGAAAACACCTTTTGTAGATAAGAGGGCAAGAAATACCCTTGATCTCTCTTAGGGAGATCACTGGAGTTCAGAAAACAGTGATAACTAGGCTTGTCATGTTTCCTTGCTCTAAAAAAGAGGTTTATCTATTCATTTGTAGGAGGGAAAATTTAATTGTTCGATACTAGGTTTCAAAACGATAGATTTAAATGTGCCAACTGGCATGAGAAAAATTATAAACACAAACTTTTACCAAGGTATGTTAAATTCCAATCTGCTACCCTAATCTCTGTTAAATGCATGCCATGTTTCTACCCCAAATGGCTTAAGTACAAAGAGGAATTGCCTAAGGAAGGACAAGAAAAGAAAAACTCATCCTTTGGAGCCTGGAAATATTTCTTTCACCGGCAAGGATCCAAGTTTGATACCACCTTCGGAGAGCACCATTTTAATGAGGTCATCATGGATCATGGATCTTCCCAAGAAGCATACAGAACAGAGCTACCCCCAGGCTCCCTGAAGCTTGTCTCTACCAATGTACACAAGGAAATCGAGGTCCCAAATGCTCAGCAGAAAGGTATACGTGAACTCAGGACCAAGTATCACCAGCACCACCACTGCCACCTACCTGAGCTTGACCAGCCATTTCAATGCCAGCATCGAGGAATTCATCAAAGTCATCACTGAATTTTCCAGAGGCAGCTGCTAGTTCTCCGCTCTGTCCCCGAGTGGCATGGACTACTTCCCCTGCTGACTGGTTCAGGTCAGCTGCAGCCTGGTTCAATTCACTTTGGGCTTCCTGGAAAGGCTTGGTACTTGGTGGTAGCTAGGGTAAGAAAATAGAGAGAAAAATGTGACTTTCATCTTTGACGTATGTGTATTATGAAGTATGTAATGATAAAATTAAGACAAAGAACTACTACATCTCTGTGATCCCACCCCAAGTTAAACTTGTCCTTCAACATGCAGTTGGAACTTACCCTTGAGACACAGAACAAATCTAATGTCAGGAAAACAGCACAGAGATGAACCCAAGAGATTAACATTTTAGATGGAAAGATGCTTCAACAATGGATTTATTTGTTTTTAAGTCTCAAACCCTAAGAGTAGGAAAAAAACAAAACCACTGCTACATTGAGGGCCTTCTGATTTTCTAAACCACCAATAATTAACTTTTGTAATATAGACATAAAATAATTATCAGGTTTAGTAAAATCTACAATAGCTTTTGTTGTTATACTTGTGATCTTTGCTAGTAATGTAGCTTTTCATTCTCCAGGGTGGGTGACTGAGAAAAGTGTCAGATGGCTACAAGTGATAATACCCCATAAGTACACTAGACCTGTCTCCCTTTTCTTTTCCTCCTAATGCGGTAGAGGGACCATCAATAAAGATGAGATCAAAGTTCATATTTCCTACACTGACTTTCTCTGCTGAAATGACCTTAAAAAGCAATGAGTTATGGATCCACTGGAAAATGTATGCTGCGGAATACATTTATGGAAATGTATTCTTATGTACACTTATGGAAATTAGTTCTACTTTCAAGTGATAAGAGGAAATAGACGTTTGATTAAACAAAAGAGAAACATCCTAAGAAATAGTTTCTCCAAAAAGACTCCATATTTTACACTGGAAAAGAATCCAAATACTTAAATGTCTTCCCCAATAAAATGATTCTTCTCACCGAATCAACAAGGAGCTTCTTGCTAGACTCGCCAATACTCTTCAAGGCCACGTCCACATCCTTCTGTCCTGGGAGGCAATTCACACAGTTGTTCAAAGAGTGTGAGACAGCTTTGGCCACCTTAAAAGAAAAAACAGAATAATAAAAGAGTTCCTTGAATTTCACCTTGCCCAAATTAAGTATCCCTTGGATGCAAAATTGTGTTGCTAAAATGATGCAGAATGGACATCCCAACCCTGGTGAGACTGTAGTGTCTACCTCCCCAAAAGTTACAAGTCATGGAAATTGTCAGTATCTACCTGAAATTGCAGTGTGGTGAACTGGATAGAGAACTGGCCTCTGAAAAGACCTAGATCGAATCCCCCTCCTGATACATACTGGCAATGTGATCCATGGCACTTAAAGTCTCAGGGACCCAGCAAGACTCTCTATGACTATGCATTGCAAAGAAGTGTGGATTTGCATTGGTAGAAATTCATTCCTGGGAACTTCCTATGCCAATGAAATCCCAGTTCCAGTAAAAAAAAAACAAAAACGATGCTATTAAACTATGTCTTCTCAGCAAAGGTTCTAAGCCCAAAGCCAACGTATCCATGTTCCCCGGGATAACACCCTGACATGGCACCTAAGCAGATGCCCTAGAGCAAGGAAGTCCAAGGTGCTTTTTGATTCCAATAGCTTTAGCTCAGAAGTCACAACTAGCTCAAGCTGTGTCAAAGAAAAAAAAATAGAATCCCCTTTATCTTATGAGTTTTGCTGAGGACATAAGGCTGAAAGCTCGTTCTGAGTTCCCTGATTCTAAAAAGTCCTTTGAAACAAGACCCTTTGAAACAAACCTCATTCTACCTAGGTGAGTGACTGCATCTCTTCAGTAATTCCATACTCATTTTGGGATGTGCTATTTTGCACTGACAGGGACTTCACTTGTTGCTTCAGCTACTCGACACGTGTACTCTTCTGTTCTCTTAAATAGAACATAATTGGGCAGGGTGGCTCACGCATGATAGCCCAGCTACTGGGGAGGTTAGGGCTGTTCAATTTCCTGAGCTTGGGAATTCTGAGCTGCAGGGGGCTAGTCTTCACTTAAAATGGTGAGTTCTTAGGGCTCAGAGGGCCATCAGGTTGCTTAGGAAAGGAATGGAGGTCAGAAATGGAGCATGTCAAAGCCTTTCAGCCAATTGAGAGTGGGGGAGGAGTAGCCCCTATACTTTGAAGCTGGGTGAAAGGGAGAAAATTAAGTCTTTAAAATGAATAAACAAACAAATAAAGAAATAGGATATATCCTGAGAGAAAGAAAGAGCCTGTATTTTTCATTTCATAGATATTTCTCCATACTGCTGCTCCATCCCAGAATCTAGGGTTAAGGTGAACAGACTAACTGGTTTCATTTGTTAGTCTCAGTTCACCAGGCTCAGATCAGGTTTTTGCCAATGTGTCACCCACACTAAACTCACCAAGAACAAAAATGCTGAAGTATCTTCCAAATACACGTTAGGGAAAGGGTTAAGGAATGGACTTGTGATTTCACTGGCATAAAACACTCCCAGATGAAGAAGCTCACCTTACCAAAGCAGGCAGGTACCTTTGCTGGAATGTACAGCCTAAGAGAACAGTATAGTCTTTAAAAAAGAATACTAGCTTTGGAGTGAGAGTACTTGGGTTCAAATTCCACATCTGACTGAATCTTAATGCTGGTATAAATATGGGCAAGTCAATTAACCTCCTTAAGCCTCCATCTCCTCATTGGTAAAATGAGGGGGGGGGGGGGGGGTTGGGTTTGATGAGTTCCAAGATTTCCTTCTGGCTCTCAGATCTACGATCCTATGGGCCAGAGCTGCCCAGAGTATGGAGCAGCTAAATTATGCAGGCTCATGCAGCTAGCATGGTAGGCTAAAGTCTGAGGTCCCAAGTTCTTTAGCAAATAATTCAGAGAATTTTAGGCCTTTTCACATGATTTTTTTTGGGGGGGAGAGGCAAACTGAATCTTTCTAGCTGGCCCTAGAAATAGGTGAAGTAAACTGCCAAGTCACATGTGGACCTAATGAGGGATGGCTTTTAAAATGACTTTTTTTTTTAAAATAAATGTACACATTCAATGTCAAAAAATTATGATTCCTACATATGTTGGTATTTGTCTTTTAAGTCACAAATGTTACAGTATAGGCTCTAAGGCTCTTGTGAGCCATAAGACATGAGGATACTATTTTTGCATTTTGCTTTCTGGCACACAAATGCTTTATGCCAGCTCTGCACATCAATGCCATTGCCCACACAGTAAAGATGAACTGAACTGGCTTATTCTACATTATATATGGTTCAAAGAATTTAGAGACCTGTGGAATCTTACCCTATAGTTAAGGCATTTACTGGATAGGGGATGGTAACAGATAAGTTTAGTAAAGGCAGAACCAAGTATACCAAGTACCAGCCTACCAAGTTGTCCCCATGTATGGTAATCCATAAATCCTACCCTTAGGGCCCACCTGAGCTAGTCTCTGTTGACTTTCTGCATCTCCAGGGGCAATCAGGGCCTGCTTAGCTTCTTGAATGAGCATGGCTGAGCCCTCCATCACATCTCTGGCTGAATCCAACATAGCATGAGCTGCCACAGGATCACTGGTAGATGCTGCTACTCCTCGAGCTGCCTGGGCCAGGGTTTTCAAAGCCTGTGCTGTCTCTCTTGCAGCCACCCCTTGAAGGAAAAATCCACCAGACTGTCTGTTAGAATACTGTATAAAGCCAGTGTTTAAATCTACAATGAGCAACACAATTATGATGGGGCATAATGATTATTTACATGACTGAAGGCAGAAAGAGACTTCCTGTAGTTACTGGTGAAAAGGGACTGGTTCTTTAGGGCCACTGAAAGAGGGGTCTTCCTGCCACAAGCAGGAGACGAGTTAACAAAATGACACATGGTAAAACAGCAATGGGGAATGACTGATGTTTTTTGAAGTGTATTTATTGCAATGAGCCAAGAGGGATTCAAGTGGAGAATACGATGACAAGGTCCTCCAACTTGCTCAAAGCCACATTTTGCTACTATACTGTCAAGTATGTCCACACAGATGTATAACAAGATGGTACCAGAAGTCTGGGTCATAAAACTGACCCATCATCTTCTCTGAAGTCCCATCAAACAAATAAGTTGTCCAAGGCTCGTGAAGGTAAAACCTGTAAAATGGGTCTGGCCATATTGACCCATCATGAGGGGTCATGACAAGGGGGTGATGTTGCCTTGATGGGTGTGAGGTGCTGGACGTGATAGTGAGGGTGGGGCATTGAATGAGGCAGGTACTGGGAATATGTCCAGTGAGTACACTCAACAGTCCACTCAAGCATGCAAGAGTACCTCGCTCTCTTGAAGACAAGCAAATGAACACGTAAGTGGGTGAACGTGCTCACACACTCGGCTCACAATAGCAAGATGCTATTTTTGGAGTCTACAGAACTTGGGTTCAAGGCCCACTGCTATTATTTAGTATCTGTGTAAGGCTTGGAAACATCCCTGAACTTCTCTCACAGTGAGTCATTTTTCCCATCTCCAAAATAAAGATATTATCTGCACTACATAGCTCCCAGGGTTGCTGTGATGAAACTTTTTTGTTTTAAAGTACAACACAAATAATTATTTTTTTATTTTATTCTGAATTTAAGAAATAAAGCAAGTATTTCCGTAACACTGAATAGAAAAAAAAGATTGCATGCGAAATTGCAAAACTATTATGTACAATTTACTATTCCTTTTAAATATAAAGTTATCAGTTTTTCTTTCCTTTCCCCTCAGAGATAGCTACTATTAGACATATATATGCGTGTATGTATACACACACACACACACACACACACACACACACACCCCTTCATTACAGAGCGTAAATTCACTTCCAGATTGTTGCCAAGAAGAGACAAGAATGTAGCAATAGTAATAACGTGCTCTGGGAGAAGCATGGTAGTGCCACAAAATTCCACAAGAACTGATGCCTGTCCATATGGTAGCTCATTCTGGGCTGGCCCGTGCCATTGTACTGGCCCAGCACTGCTAGAGAAAAAGCTAATTCTACAGCGCTGGTGGACGTGGGTAGGACAAAATGAAGGTCTCTGATAGGTGAGCTCTGATCTAATCCTTCCTAGAACTGGGCCTCCATCTCAGGCGCCCACCAGTACTCCAAAGAGTCCCTCTGGAGAGTAACTATCCTCCCTGTTTCCAGCCCTGCTTTATGAGTTGTCATAACAAAACACATTCAAAACAAAAGCTCCTTCAAGGGAGGGATCGCTTGTGAGTGTACTTGTATCCTCGAATTTAGCACAGTACCTGGTACATAATAACACTTTTCATAAATGCTTATCTTGTTGTCTGTCTGTCTATCTGCTTTTTGCCTCCCTGATGATGCCGAGGCCTGATGCTGGCTTTCTCTAGCCTCTAAAGTTTACTTATATGCCACTTAACCTATTTCCCTTAGACTCTCGGACCTCAATTCCAATTTATCCTCTGCAGACATCGAGCAGTTATTCACCAACATTAAGTCATGACAATAAATATGAAAATGTTTGCCTGGCAAAGCCAAGACATGAATTGATGAGAAGGATAAAGGAATACGCACGTGTCTTACTGGACCTCACGGAGAAGAAAAATACATAAAAAAATCCTCAACAGTTTATAGCCTTCAACTCTAACCTTCATCTGATAATTATTCGAGGGTTCAAAGTTAAACTATGTATGTGTAGCAGGGAAACACTCTGGCTTAGTCTGAGGAGTCAGTAGGTGGTCCTTTCATTTTCAGTGTGAGGTGCAATAGTGCAATAAAGACACCAGAAGAAACTCAGATATATAAATGAGACAGTGTTGTTGTATCTCAGGCTGGCTAATCTGTAAATATTTAGGAAAAGACACAGCTGGGATATAGCTCTGTAACCTAATGAATGCAAATTACAAAGTTCCCAATCCCTACTTTATCATATGGCAAGCTTCAAGCATAGTTTATATAGACTGAAGTAAATTTAAACAAAATAATTTTTGTTGTTGTTGTGGGGGGAGGGAAGGGGAGATTGTTGATGAAAAGTTCACAAGAAAATGTGCAAAAATAAGTGAGATTAACATGAACAAAAAAAAGATGAAAGATGAGGGGAATGGTCATTTGATTTCAGACCTACGCCTTTTCTTTATCGAGGAGGCATAGTGCAGTAACACTGGGAGGGAAATAAGAAGTCTTGCCTTCTAGCTCAAAATCTGCCATTTATAAAAAATGTGAATTGGACAAATTAGTCTCTCCAGACCTCAGTCTCCTCATCCATAAAATAAGAAGGATTAAACTAGATGATCTCTAAGGTTCCTTACATCATTGTTAGAATGTAAGGCTCCTTGAGAGTAGAAATTGACTTATTCTTTGCATTTGCATCCCCAGAACAGAGAATAGTGCCTGAGAAAGAGTGGGTGCTTAATATGTGCTTACTGATTGATTGATTCCAGCTCAAAATTATATCTTCTCTTTATCTCCCTGTTTATTTATCACCTATGACCTAAAATCCAACCTGATTTCATATGCAGAGAACACAGTATTTGGTATAGGAAGCTAGAAAAGGCATTTCTATCGAGATTCACTTGGCCCCAAATGCATTTTTACAGATGAAGACTATATCCAGAAAGTAATGGTGAGAAACCAACTCAGTAAAAAGGATGCATATAAGAAGAGGCGAATTTCAAAGACTTAAGTATGTTCATCCCAAATAACTTCTGTTTAGGATTCCCTCTGAAACTCATTGAGCTTAAGGACCTCTACGGTATGATTTAGTTTCCAAGGAGCAGGAACCCACTGATACTAAAGATGGAGAAAGGCCAAAACAGGTCAGTGAAAGGGCCTGGCAAATATCTCATGTTGTCCAATGGTTGAATTTGCAATAATAGTCTAACTGGTGACCACCATGGGGACAGGTTTAAAAAGCAAAACAAAACAATTCTGTGGTCTGAGTTGCATTGCCAGAACTGAGATTGGGAAAGCACTGCAAAGGGATCTTTAAAAACTACAAAAAAGCACTTGAAGTCATAAATTACTTCAGCAGCTCCCTCACCATCTGGATCCTAAATTATGTTCAATAGCAGTGTCTGGAAAATATGCACCAGTGAGATTAAATACAGAAGAAACCTCTTATAATGGCTGGTCTTTATTACAGGGACTTCTTTATCCTAGAATTTAAAATCACAATTGGACAAATACAACTATGCAAGTAAAAGTCAGCTACCACATGATTCCGCTGGGGGAAGGGGGAAAGGATTTAAAATTGTCTCAAAATTATTTTTAAACAAGTCCCACAATAGCTGGATACAGGGACTGGAGAAAACTTTATACACATGAAAAACTGTAACTCTGATATTATTTGAGACACTGATGATAATTTCAGGATGACAAAGAAAGGTCTCATCATTTTCTCATTCATTCATTCATTCATCTATTCACTCACTCACTCATTCATTCATTCAGTATTTACTGACCATTTGTTATTTTTAAACTCAGTAGGAAATACAAAGATATCCCAGCCTTTGAATAATTTACCCTCTAGTAGGTATAGAAAGAGAAAGCCCCAAACACCACAATACCCAAAGTCTTCCATTAATATTGCCTTCAAATACTCAATTTATTAAGCACCCACTGTATAAAAGGCACTTAACCAGACACCAAGCTCCTGTTTGTTTTTTAAGCCTTTAGCTTTACTGAAAAACTTGTATTGAAGAGAGAGAGAGGGAAAGCTTCAGATTGACGAGGCAGAATATCTCCCAATGATGGCAAGGTCCATGAAGCAGTTGTGTTGGATACAAAAGAAACAAATGTCCCCCAAAACCAAAATGCATACATGCATGAATGCATTCACACATGCAGTAAGTAAGACAGCACCCTTCTTCTGAGGTGCTCTCTGAGGGAGGATAAGTTTGAACTGCATCACTAAATACAGAGAGAAAGTAGTAATTAAGAGGTGGGATAAGATTTGAAGAATGATAGTTAAAGACAATAACAGTATTTCATTAACTATAATAATGACAACTCACATTTATCACAATAACACAAGTAGAAGTGAAAGGATTACTAATTTTATTTTACAGATGAAGAAACTGAGCTTCAGAAAAGTGAAATGCTTTGCTTAGGGTCATATAGAATTTAACTGTCACAACCAGGATTTAGCCCCAGTTCTTTCAAATACAAGTTTGGTGATCATTCTACTTCATCTCACTACCTTTTCCAAACAACCAGAGACAGCAAATAAACAGAAAAAATATGCAGAACAGAACAGTAATAAATGGTGTTCATAATCAAGATCTTGAAGTACCTTCTGAGTTATGAAGGAAGGGTAAAATTAAGTTTAAGACTCTGTGACAAGAGTTTTCTTGTATTCTAATTCTTCAAAAATTAATTGCCAATGTGTAGTATAACTACACTAATTATCTTTCTGCCAGAGTACTCAAACAACCAGAATATCCCCATCTTTCCCTTTTATGGGAAAAAAAAACCCTCAATTAATCAGCAAGCCTTTGGTAAGTGCTACTTAATATATGCAGCGAGGTGGTGCAGTGGATAGAGCGCCGGGCCCGAGTCAGGAAGACTCATCCTCCTGAGTCCAAATCTGGCTTCAGACACTTACTAGCTGTGTGACCCTGGGGAAGTCACTTTACTTTGTTTGCCTCATTTCCTCATCTGTAAAATGAACTGGAGAAAGAAATGGCAAACTGCTCCAGTATCTCTGCCAAGAAAAGCCCAAATGGGGTCACAAAGAGTCAGACATGACTCAACAACAACAACAACAAAAATACATTCAAGTACTTTGCTCGGCGCTGGAGACAGAAAGACAAAAATGAAATCATCCCTGTCCTCAAGTAGCTTACATTCTAACAAAGGAGACAATATGCAACTAATGTATAAGTGCGTTATTTTCTAATTTTAAAATTTATTATTATCATTAAATTATCATTAAATATATTTAAATAAACATATTATTAAATATATTAAATTATTATTATTAAATTCTAATTTATTTTCTAATTTTTCTAATTCACTTGTATCATATTTGGACTCCTTGCTATCTTACACAAACAAAGTACAGTCAGATCACTGTGAATGCTTGATTTCTGAAGAATATATAAACCACATTAATTCTTATATCAAAGAAACTGAAAAACTGTTTTTAAAAAAATCACATATCAATTAAACAGGAAAACACACAACTGTGGGAGTATCAATTCTTTGCCGATAGTAACAAGAAAATAGGTTGGTGTGCTTTTTTAAATAACCATGAAAATTTTCTACTAGCCCCTTTTCAATTTTTTCCTTACGGAACATTTCTAAACGTTTATTATTTATTTATTTTCAACTGTGTTTTGTTTTTAAATTTTGAGTCCCAAATTCTGTCCCTCCTTCCTGCCCCATTCACCATCTACTGAGAAGGCAAGCAACATGACATTCAATTTTTTTTTCTAAAATGAAAAACAGATTATGTAAACTAATTCCCTGATCTCTGGCTTATATGTTACAAAAATAATTTGATTTAGATGTGAAACTAGAGCTAGGAGTAGCTAGAGAAGGAGAAAACTTAAAAAAGAAAAAACAAAAACCAGAAAGAAGACTGATGACTACTTTCCACAGAATTAATTAATGTATGTGCCTTGGATTATGTTCAGAAATAAGCGATGCGCTACATGATAACCAATTTAAATAAAAGCCAGGCAGGGCTCTTAACCACTGAAATGATGCACATTTCTGTTTTAGTCCTAGGAAGCACAATTCTGTCAAAAAATGATTCGGAGACATTTTCTAAACTGACTCGAGTGTGTCATCCTGAGGTTCCTACTCAGACATTTCAGCAACTAATTCAGCTGTTCCTCTAATGACAAATTTTTATCCATGATGGTTAATGACACCTGGAACTCTCACCACTAGCATGAGAGGATTAAAAAAAAAAAAATCACTCAACGAGTGAAAACCTGCTGGTTTGCTGTATGGCATCATGAGTAATGAAGTAGCACCTACCTGTGTAGTGTTCATTGCCTTGAGCAGCGCAAGTCAGCAGCTGGGCCATTGAGGACCCGACAGCTTTGGAGGTACTTCCTAGATCCTGGGCACACTTTTCCAGCTAAAACAATAGATATGGGGGAAGGTCACTCTGAGGAAATGAAAAACCTACACTAAGTTTATAGTATGTATTTAAAAAAAAACAAAACAATTGGCCAATGTCTTAATGATTTCTACCTAGAAACAACAAGGTATAGCATGTGGTGCACTGGACTTGGAATCAGAGACTGAAGTCCTAGGGCTTGTTAGCTGTGTGGCCACGGTTAGTCATCCCACTCCTCTGAGTCAATGATTCCTTACTTATACAGTGAGGCTAATAATACTTCATTATATCTCTGTTAAAGGGCAGTTGTGATAAAAGGGTTTTGTAAATCAGAAAGGGCTATGTAAATTTGTTAGCATTGATGATAATAATGACTCTTTGAAAGCTATTTTGGAACATTCATTGCAAATCCTTAGAGCAAATCAAAGACCCCCATCGACTAAGCGGGCAGAAGGGGTATTCTTCTACCTCATTTGGATGAAGGATCTTTGAAAATGGATAATTTCATCATTCTATTTCAAACAGGACAGGTAAAATGTGAAAGAAATTTTGAGGATGGTCAATAAAACAATGGGAGTAGGATTCTTTTAAACATTTCCTCAGTAGAATATAAGCTCTCTGAGGGCAAGAGTTACTTGATTCTTATTTATCATTAGTATCTGTCTTACATATTAAGGAGGTGCTCCATAAACGTTTATTTCCCGTCTAAGGTACAACCCCTTGTTTTGATTGTGATAAACGGACAATCTGTTATTTTAAAACAGAATAAATCTATCCAGGATAAATTATCCCATTAAAGAACTCAGCAAATGACTAGGTTAGGGTCATTATTTGAATGCAAAACTTAAAAGCATTATCAGGATGTGTCAACATTTAGTAAGGGCCCTTAAATACAAGGCTGGTGTTTGTTTTGTTTTTTTCCTTCTTTTTAAATACAGTTGCTACATCCCAGTTACCAGTGGAAAAACACAATGGATTTGGAATTAGAGGATTGGGGTTTAAATCCTTGCTCTATCACTTAACTACCTGAATGACCTTGGAGACATCACCTCTTGGAGACATCATCTGTAAAGGAGTGGGGGAAGCTGGAACAACTACTTTTTAAGGTCTTTTTGGTCTACATCTATGGTTAGAGATGGACAGAGCTCGGGACTGGAGCTGTGATTTAATTGATACAAGGAGCTCCTGTTTGAGAAAACACCTTTTCCCAAGACAGGTCAGTATTGTCTCTATAATAATTTATCATCTTAAAGAGCTGCCCAGAACACTGAGAGGCCACGTAACCTGCCCAGGGTCACAAAGCCAACATATCTGAAGCGGGCCTTCGATTGAGGTCTTTTTGGATTTAAGGCAGTCTCTCTTTTCACTGTGATACACTGACTCTCCTAAATCTCTAACTCTAGAAAGATGGATGTAAAGGCAGCATTTCTAGGTTCGTGGTCTGTCTAGGGGAATTTGGACTAAAACTAATTTTAGCAGCAAGAGTAGAAACAAATGCTTCCATTCCGGAAATGCTTGCCAGCAATTCATATTATTTCCAGATAAAAATATAAAGTTGCAATTGAGATGCATCCGCAATGTAAAACATTTGCTGCATTCAGAAAACATCAGTGGAAACTGAGACAGAATGTGCCTGAGGGCATTCAACTGCTTTCAGACTATTCTGAGCAAGGCAGCTTCATTTACAGGAATTCACAACGGGATATCCCAGGCTTAGAAATATCCACTTATCTATCCACCCAGCAGCAGCAGGAGAAAAGAATGCTGTTTACACCTTTAAATTATCAGTATATGTTAATAGGGAAAGGCAGCCTGACTACAATATATATGGACCGGTAAATTTTTATAAGAGTTAAACCCTGACATTAAATCACCTTGCAATATCATGAATACATTTATATGATGGGTCAGATCATATCCCTAGTAGAAATAATAATATCACATTGCATATGGATGGTTCATTCACCTGTCCTTCCTTCGCAAGTTTTTACAATATGGTGAGACACAGGAGGTATCATTATTTTAGAAATAAAGTGGCTGTAGAAAGGATGTCACATGGCCAAGGTCATGTATCTAGTTAGTGGCAAAGCTGAGAGGAAAACCCAGGTCTTTTAGACCTAGGATTACAGATAAAGAGGTAGAAGGAATCATGGCACCCACTGAGTCTAGCTCAGTGATACTGATCACCGATGAGGAAACTGAGGTCCGAGAAGTTAAATCACTCACCCAGGTTCACAAATGTAGTAAATGACAGAGACAGATGTGAACTCAGGGGTTCCTGACATCAAGTCCATTGATTTTTTTCAGTGGATTATTGATTATTATTGTTAATTATTGGTAATCTATTATCCCTCTCTTCAGGTTGCTGTCACGTTTGGATTGTCAACCCTCTTACTAATGCCTGTCACTACACCTTATTTCTCAAATGCGGCATGTTAATGCATGTTATTTCTTAAAACAAATTTTTATTAATATCTTTTGGTTTTACATCATCTCCTTTTACCCGTCTATTTCTTTTCCTTCCCTTATAAGAGAATAATGCTTTATAAGAGTTCAGAAAAGCTAATCAACATATTAAAAAAGTTGGACATTATATGCAGTGCTCCACACATATACTTCCCTGTACAGAGAATTTTGGGGGAGGAAATGTGAATGTTATTAATTGTATATTATTGTACTTATATCTCTTTTAAGAAAGAGATATAAATTAATATAAATTAATGCCACTAGGAAACATGCACAGAAGAAGTAGCCAGCTACTCTGGGAATACTGCCTTAGCACTATTTTCTAGCTCTCTGCTGCAATGAGGTCAGCCCAGGTCTGTATATCCCAGGTACTTTTTTGAAAACAGAGTTCTTTTGACCACCAGTGAATCTGAACTGAAACCACATACACCCACGGAAGGATCTCTCCGCAGCTATATCAAAAGCCCACACTCTTTTCTCTTCAGATACAACTTTAATCTTCTCCTCTAGGAACAGAAAAAAAAAATCATTTCTGATCATCCCATTATCCCTTCTTACAGTTTCTCCAGGGAGTGGCTTTAGTTGACTCTCCACAGCTGTCATTTTGGCATCCTGCAGCTCATTTTTGAGAGTTTGTACGATGTTCAAAGCAGAGTCGATTTCCATTGGGCCACACGCTTCGTGTGCCTAGCCAGAAAAGAGTAAAGTGAAGCGGGAAACATTTACATGCATACAAGGAATCACCAGATAGTCACATCCACAGAAGGAAGACCCAGAAAAGAGAGTTCTGGACACATGGTTCAACATCAGAAATTATTAGCAGAAATGACATTAATGAAGAGGCAGGACCATTTGTACCCTGAGCACCATGGGAAGTTTCCATGTGACTTGCAGCTGAAACTTTCCATGTGTGTGGTTTGCTCCATTAGAATGGGAGCCGCTTGACAGCACGGGCTGCCTCTTCTATATGTGTGTTCAGTGCTTAGTATAGTATTTTATGCATAGTAAGCCCTTCACTCATTCATACATTCATTCATTCATTCATTCATTCATCTATCCACCAACTGGATCCAAGAAAGACATATTTTATTGCCAAATCAGATGTTCTAGTGCAAGGCTTTAAACCATTTATGCAAACAAAGGTAGTAGAGATAACATGGGAAGATAAAATGACTCTAAAGCTTTTCTATTAGTTTAATAAGTTGTCCTGTGGCAAATATGAATAAATATATAGAAGAGAGGTTTACATGTCACAGAGACTAACGAACACCAAAGATTCTAGCGCTACCTCAAATGACAAAAAACTATCTTTGAGAATGCTTGCAGAGATCAGTGTATATCTAACCTTCGAAACATCTGAACCAGCCAAAAGATCAGGAGGGAGGCAGGAGGAACACATGACTCCCAACTGAAGGTTACAAATAAGCAAATGACATAAACAACATGAAAGGACGAACCTTGATACATTAAAGGAGGTTCCCAAAGAGTATTCAGAACACACCCTGAAATATCTACTCCCACCCTTAAACTGTACCAAGAAGCTCCTAACCATTTTTTTTTTTTAAGCACTTTTCAGTACTAATAAATCTGAAGTTTACTTACTTTTTGAGAGGCAGTTCTCAGCTCTGCCAGGCTGGTAGCAAGGTTCTTGGCACATTGGCTCAGCTGCATAGCTGCAGCCTGGTCGCTGACAGTAGGCACTGCGGCTTTGGCTGAGGCCACCATTTTGCTTCCCGGCTAGATATGAGCAGAAAGCAAATGGAGAATCTGTGTGGTCACGAACTCTTCCCCATTCAGTGACCCGAAAGGTTATTCCTTTCTTGTTCCTCTAATTTGTTTATGTTGTGTTCTTTTATACCTAAGTCACGTACACATTTGGTGCTTATTTTGGTATATGGTGTGAGGCACTGATCTAAACCTAATTTCTGACAGATTGCTTTCTAGTTGGGGGATGACTAAACAGTTCAGTCCCAGAGCAGAGAACACATGGCTTTAATTTCTGATTCTGACTCAAACTGGCAGTATGACTGTGGACAAGTCACCTAACTTGTCAGTTCCTTCAGAAACTCTCTTAAGACTATAAGCTGCAGAATAGCTACTAATCTGTATTAGTGGAGGGTATCTCTTTTACCAAGGAAATCATGGCTCTGGAACAAAAACAAACAAACAAACAAACAAAATGCAAATGAGGGAACTTTTTTTTGTTTTTTGTTCCAGACCTGTGACCTCACTGGACTTCCTAGGTATATAATTGATCTTGTCTAGTGGTTCTTCCCAACACTCTCTTCTTTAATGCCAATTCTGTATCCTCATGTATCACAACAAGGGCTATAATCTTAAATTCCAGATTATCCCCACGATTACTGAAGAACAACATAATACACACAACCAGGTTGGCTCCAGGAGGATGAATTTTTTGGCCACCTGAGTGCACATGGAAGTTAATTCATGCAGATCTATATGTGGTCTGTAGCAACTGAAAAGGAAGGATTGTGAAATTAATCAAGGCCAGCATGTGACAGGTTCAAAAAGGTAGTGGTATCTTGGAAAGGGAAGGGAATATGCATTTATATAATGCCTACTATGTTCCAGCCACTGTGCTAAGCATTTTACAAATATTTACTTGATCCTGGCAACAATCCTCCAAGGTGGGTGCTGTTGTTATCCCCATCTTACAGTTGGGGAAACTGCGGCAAACTGAGATTAAATGACTTGCCCAGGGTCACACAGCTAGTGTTTGAGACTGGATTTTAATTTGGGAATGAGAAAATCGCAATTGTGTTTCCTTAATCCCCATAGGTTCTTTACAAAGAATATGAGCAACAGAAACAGTACCCAGACTACCTGATTTCAGATCATTGGGAACACTGGAAATTGGCAAAACTATGGAAATGGTAAGGGAGAAAAATCTCCCCTATCCCCAATATCCTGCCACCATGCCAGCTGGAATTAAGAAGCAAACCCAAGAAGTAAAAATCAAGCGTTGTCTCCTTATAAGATCCAGATTCACAAATAGAATGCACTGAGAAACTGGCAAGAATAAGGATAACTACTCCATTATGGAAATTTTTTTTTTTTTTTAGAGAGGCAACATGGAATGATGAATAGAGCAGGTCTTAGAGCCAGAAAGACCTGGGCTCAAGTGCCACCTCTCACACATACTGGTTATCTTACCCTCACCAGGCTGCTTTCAGGAATCTAGGCTACTTTCTAAGACTACAAGGTACAGAGAAAGTGTTAACCTGTATTGCTAGAAGGAATGCCTTCAACCAACGAATTCACAGACTCAGTGCCTATCTTGATTCCTAATAATTAGATCTACATCTGTGGTGTAGACCTCTTCATGATGAATAACCATCTAATGTGTTTCTGGGAAAGAAAATGAGTTATGATAACCATTTTTTTGCATCCTATGTTTCCTGAAAAGGACTGGAGAGGTGACTGCTTTTCCCTCCTTAGAGGAGAGAACCGGCATATCTTTGGAGGAAATACAAAGTCTTCAGTCTAATGCACGGTTTTTGACTGACTACTTTAAGGGCTCCGGAATCTATCTAACTCCCACTTCTAACTGAAAGCAATAATCAGTTCAAGGCTGTTCATCAAAATTTCCAATTTATCATATTCTCTCCCTCACTTCCTTTCCTTAAAGAGGAAAGGAGAAAATTAAGTCAAAGTTACAGTCCTAGAGGAAAAAAAAAAGATTATCATGGATATCTGCTCTCAGGGATTTTCGCTATATTTTAGCATCCTGCTCTGCCAAGCTCAATATATCTCCTCTGAAACTGGAAAAATAATAAGAGAGTCTTCGGGGTCTGACTTCACCACAAAACATTTATTGAAGCTGTAGGAGGCATTCTCATTTCTCTCTTAAAAATCAAATGAAGAGGGAAAGGACCCATATGCACATATAGCAGCTCTTTTTGGGGTGGTAAAGAATTGGAATCTGGGGGGAAGGGCAGTTGGAGTCCTAATCACCTGGGGCTGGGCGGGACAATTATGGCATATGAGTGTGATGGGATACTACTGTCCTGTACAAACTGATGAAGGGGAGGGTTTCAGAGAAACCTGGGAAGACTTGTGACCTGATGCAAAATGAAGTGAGCAGAACCAGGAGAACAATTTATATATAAGACAAACTGCCCTGAAAGACTTAGGAACTCTGATCAACACAATGTCCAATCACAATTCCAAAGGACTCATGATGAAACATGCTACTCAGCTCCTGACAGAGAGGTGACGGACTAAGGGTGGTCTGAGACATAGTTCAATACGTACTATAAATCTATCTGAACAATTACATAGAACAAATATATCTAGATAGATAGATAGGTACACACATCCCTTTTAGATGGCCAATAAGGAATTGGTTTTTCGGGACTATACATGTTTGTAATTAAGGTTTTGTTTTTCTTACTTCCTTATATTGAGTGTTGGGGAGGAAGAAAGGGAAGGAAGAGAGAGGATCTGAAAACAAAATAAAATTTAATTTAAAAATTTTCTCTCTTTCAGGACAATAGGATACATGAGCGACGGGAGGCTCTGTGTGTCCTGGGATGGGTTGGTCAGTATTACCTACCTGGAGGAAGTTCTGGCTGGAAATGATGAGAGCGAGCTGAGCACTGAGATCTTCTGCTTGAGCCTGGCTCCCCCTTACCCCCTGGACCAGCTGAGGGATGTGATCAGCCACTGCCTGTGGGAAGCAAGGGAAAATATAATTAAGTACCTCTACGTAATCTGGGGAATGTAATTATGTTGAATTATCCAGAACGGGTAGGAAAATAACCTAGCATAAGGTTTTTCTTGCACATGAAATTCATTTATATGATCTCCTTGGTAGGCAAAGACACGTCCTAGACCTTAGGAAGCATATTTGGCCTTGGAAGGCTTTACAAATACAGGGTTTTACTCTATAGTTAAGCTTCTCCCTGGCAGATGCTACAACAAGGTACTGAGGAGTGATAGCTGGCTCACGGAAACCGAGCTTTCAACTTAACAGAACATATATAACTTTGAACTGATTACCTTCATGTAATTTGGCCATTTCTAAATCATGGCACTTGTCCTCCGGCTTCATCGCCCTCCTATCAGAACTTTGGCCTCTACCCCCGGGATGCTGGATGTGGAGGCTTTCACCTTATCTTACCCAGAACTAGACTTTGCTTTCTACCTCCCCTTCACGAGTTGCGGTCTTCAACTAGAAATGCTTGCATTTCTATCTTAAGCATTTAGCACAATGCTGAGCACATTGTAGGCACTTAATGAGTGTTATCAATCATTCATTCACACACAGGATCCTGGACTTAAACCAAGATGTAAGCATAATTTATGGCCAAAATAAAATCAAGTGGACCCATCAATTAATCCAAAGCAAGAAAGGTAATTAATTTGGAGAGGGGTGGGGAAGTTAGGACTACCTGGTTCTCACACATAAGCATTCACCACTAAGCTTTGACCTGATGTGTCTATTCCATGAATTAGGCAGTTGAGACTGCCACAATTTCTTTTTTTCTCGACTTCACCAAATATATTTCATTTCCTCAAATAGAAAAGACTTCCCCCAAAGGTGGTAAGACGCAGAATTTCATGTATGTAGAAGCTTATTGTCCACACACTGCTCAGAATAATTACTTCAAAAGAACTTATGCCTCATGGCATTGCCTTAAGTAATGAACCCACTGAAGTTCACGTCCTGTTCACCAATCTCACGACATTTTGCTCTTTAACCAGGTTCTTGAAAGCTGTAACTCAATGGGTTTTGTCGTTAGCCTCCACCTGGTAAATTATAAGCCTCCCCTTTTTCTGGAAGCTATATTGACTGGCTTTTTATTTGTTAGTCTTTTTTTTTTTTTTAATAAGGGAGCCTTTTCTTCTAGAAGTCTATTAACTTGATTTTCATGCACCTCCTGAGAAGTGGAAATGCCCATTTCCATACCCCGTTGGGTTGCTTATTGCTTGATAGGCCCTGCAGCAACCAAACTCAGGAGGAGGACAGCAGCTCCAACAATGGTACAAGCTCACACACAGCGGTGTTCTTCCATACAGCAGCAGCAGCCTCCACATAAAAGCAGTGTGAGAAAACCGCGGCAGAAATTGGCTCCTCTTGTATTTTCTTTGCAGTGCCCGCCTCGTATGTTTTTCAGAGCTTTTCCACTGATGAGCTCAGTGCTCTATTGACTAGCACGGGGGAATATGGAATTCAGGCCTTGGATTTCAGGGAGCCATAGTGATATTATCCAATTCCTTTCAAAGATAAATTTGTTTCTGAGATGGTAGTAGTCACCTCCACACCCTGGATTGAAATCATTTAACAGGAGGAGGAGGGAGGAAAAGTGATCAAGTTAAATTTTAAAATGTGCCATGTTTCCTGCCCAATTAATTTTTTAAAAAGTATTCCTAAGAGGCTCTGATCAAGTGTGTTATAGATAGATATCTAAGAAATGGCCACACAATAGGAATTGACAGATCAAACAATTTTTGTTCCTTCTGAGAGACCCAAGCTCACTGTGGCCTACTTAGCTAAAGATGGAGCCTCATAAAAAAAATGGAGACAGAAAGGCTCCCATAGACAATTCCAAAGGAGAAGTGGAGTTGAGGCCAAGTGGGAGTGAACAACTCAAGTTGTGGGCTCAGGCAGCCAATGGGGCAGAGGGCAAAGCAGAAAATGAAACACTATTATGATGTGTAAAGGATGAATGAGAAGTAGCCAGCTCTTCAGAAGAAAGGCCCTTTGGAAATTCAATGGTTTATCACTGTTTTATGGCATTCAAATGGCTGGGCCAATGAATGCATCTTTTTTTTTTTGCATCTTTCAAAAAAGAGGAGAAAGTAAATCCAGGACACAGGAAAGAAAGAACTGGAAAAAAAAAAAATTAAAAAAACAAGTACTGACAAAGAGCAGACTCAGGAACACCTGGAAAATGTGAGCCATTGTGAATTGGATTAGTGGGCCTGAATGATATCCATTAACTAAATTAGCAAGGCACTTAGGGCGGTAACACTCTTAGTATCATCTACAATAGACATCGTACTCTGTCAGTTTGGATACTTACCTTGCAGCTCTGGACAAGTTGCTGGTGTGCCGCTGGGTTCTTGTTGGAAACAGCCGCGTTTTGGGATGCCGCAATTGTCTGAGTAGCAGCAGCTGCAGCCTGTTTTGCTGCAACCTTAAAAGGAGGACTCAAGATGAGATGATTTTTTTTAAAGGTTTAGTTTTTGTTTCCTACATGTAAAGCAGCTCAGTCCCTGCTGTATGTGAAAGAATGAGAACATAAGTAGATAATGCCTTTTAAAATCACTGATGTTTTTTAAGTGTCCCTGGAAACCACCAAAAGTTTCAATTCCCTGGAACAGTTACTAAGTTAGCTTGGTATAAGAAGTGGTATTTTCCCTTTTTCTTTCTTATAAAGGGACAAGGAACAATCCCACCTCCTAATGGTATTCATAAGAAGCACCAAGGCGGATTCCTTTAAAAATAATAATTAAAGAAAACATAATGGAGCATCTTCCATGCAGCTCTCTAGGCCAAATACAAACGTTTCGTGCTCATGAATAACACTTTCACCCTATAAAAGTGTCTTGACAGAAAAGCAATGACACTATGTGCCATCTCCTATCTCCTTTCCTAAATAAAAAGACTGAGTCCAACTTTCAAGCCTGGTACATGTTTACACACAGATTTTGATGAATTGATCTCAAAGCTACTAATGAAAGGACCAGGACGAGGGCAACTAAATACGTAAAAGATTTTTTTTGTATAAGGGCTTGGCTTGGGCACGTGTATGTGTGTACTTGTACAAACACACAATACACTTTTTTTGCATCCTATACTAATTTTGGTAGTCAATATTCTCCTCATTACATGATATAAAATTTGATATACATCTAGATATATGGGAAGTCTATACACACTTTGACTTTGATGAGAATTCACTGACATTTCTTATTTTAAAAATGTTCTTCTTTCCTCTGTCTATTTAATTTATCTATTCAATCTCCCTATTTCCTATGATTCAAGAAAGTAGAATTCAAACATTCATTGGTATTTAATCAATCTTTCCCTCTGCTCCAAGGTTTGAAAGGATACCATAACAATTAGCTACCAAAATTTATAAGCTAAATAACCAATTTCCTTAAAAGAAAAAAAAGAATCACAGAAATATAACTGCTTCTGATACTAAAGATCTTAGCTGTCTAAATAACTGCTTTGGTACAAATAAGACGATAGCTTGAAAACTTATGTTAATCCTAGTTTCAGAGTTCTCACATACCTGAAATCCCTTCTCCTCTAACAGAATCAATTTCTTAGATATGAATTCTCTGTAACAACTGTGCCCATGGTTAAATCTTTGGTTTAATCAGAAATGAGATATACTACAAATTTGCTTATTTGTACAGGGCCTATTTCATGTAAAAAGCGGATATACCAAGAAGGACAAAAGAAAAAGAAAAAAGGCCCTTTTTCTGACCTCTAACCGGTTGACAATTTTTTTCTTAATAGCATTCTGAGCAGCTGCATTGGTTGCAACCCGGAGTCCTTCTGCAGCTTCCCTGAGTCTCTGCTGCTGATCCTCATTTTCTGGGTTAGCAGCAGCACCCTGTAAAATGAATGTAAAATGTAAAAAAACAAAACAAAACAAAAAGGTAAAATAAAAAAATTTTCACCCTGTGAAAATAAAAACTTCAAGAGGTCCAGGAAGTTCAATTACGTCCTCAATTGTTCTTTCATCTAATTCTGTCCTGAAAATAAGGTTGGCTGGTAGGAAAAGGTAATTTTCCCGAGAGATAACCTTTAAGGTCGAGAGGCTTCCTTTTGCCATTGAAAATATCTGCATGGCATATTTCAAACATGCTTTGCTAAGCTCTGAAAGATTAACCTCTAAGACTTATATCCTAAAGTGGTTAACGGCTGCCATGTGGATGAAGTATTAAACATATTCTGCTAACCCCATAGGGCAAAACCATGTGGAAATTACAGGGAGGTAGATTTTGGCTCAATTAGATAATTTTTATAAAACAGAGCTAACAAAAGTGAGTATGGCTGCCTTGGGATGTGGTGATGAATTCTCCAGCCCTGGGGGTCTTCAAGTAAAGGACATATGCTAGACAGTCTTCATGTTTTAAGTAAAGATTAGACTTGGCCTCTATAGTCCGTTCCAAAAGTATTATTTTATGATCCTTCATTTTCTGTGATCCATGTAAGATATCATGGGAACAGAAATGTAAGTCTTGAAATAAATTTAGGACAGTTAAAAAAATCACTTAGATGAATTTCATTTTTTAATTGAAAATGTGATTTACAACCTTGGATGTACTAAACTGTGAATCATCCCTATGGGATGTTGTCTCTCTATGGCATTATAAAGGGTTAAGATAAATCTATAGGAAACTCTACGGGGGGAGATAACCTCAGATAACATCTGAGGTTGTAAAGGAATTTTGCTAAAAATGAATATTTTACTAAAAACCATATTTCTGGTCATGGGGGCCAAGAAATAACAGAGATGAGAGGCAGTTCCCCTTCAGTGCATTAGCAAAAGAAATAAGACACTTGAAGCAGCTCTACAGGAGAAGGAACCAAGGGGTCATGTCCATATATTATACCTCCACACTGTTTATTTTTTTTCCTCTAAGTTCTTGGAACTTTGGGGGTGATGCTTCATTGTGGTTCAAGGCTTGGGAGTCTGGGTAGGTTTTTATAAAGCAGAGAGGGTATGTGAAGTGGAGGGATTAGAAATATAATTGCTAATACGTGGCAGAATTTTTTTTAAATGTCTCAATAGTTCATCTGTGGTTAAGTTCTCTTCTCCCCACCTTCCTAAAGAACAGCACACACAACTGAGTCATTCTCCCTTCCCACCCTCCACCCCCCTCCTTCCATGGCCTTTAAGTTGATAAAAATCAAAGAAAGAATGATGTCCATAAGGCAATGACGTGTGTAGGTGCCACATCTCCATCCTTGACTGGAGCTCCATGAGATCATCCTTATCTAAGCTTTGGATCTTCCCTAATGCCTGGAACAGTGTTCATCACAGAGCAGGCACTTAACACATTTGCTGAAATCAAATTATTTTCTATGGGACAAGGTTCATAAAGGGCAAAACCTGTTTTTGCTTTATTCTGGGTATCTCTAGCACTTGGCTCTGTGCCTGTCACTTAGTGAGTGCTGCTTGATAACTGCTTATTGATTGAAAGAATGTTATTCTATAGAACCCTTCATTGTTCACTTCCTTGTTCTAGTCTCATCAGGTCGGGTTGTACGTAGTGTAAATAAAAGATTCCTGCACTGGAAAGCCAGTAAACCCGGGATTCTAATCCCAGGGCTAACCCTATTCATCTGTGTGACCCAGAGCGAGCTACTACTCTACCACCTCTTTGGACTTGTTTCCTAATCTGTTAAATATTAATGGATCAAAGTATTAGAGTTGGAAAGAAGCTTGGTGATCACCTAATCCAACCTCTTTATTTTAGAGATGGGGAAAGTAAAGCCCAGAAAAGGGCCTGGAACAAAGCAGAGGAAGGGTACCTAATAATGGAGACTAATACTTTTGGGACACCCCATTTTTTGCAGGTTTTCCTTTCCTCTTCTCCTCCTACTGTCTTTACAGTGTTGAGCCATCACCATGGCTTATCAGCCAAAGTCCTATTAAGATTTTTATAGCTTAAAACTGCTCCAGGATTTTTAGGATACTTAACATAAATGAAGCAGGATCTTTTTCAATAAGGGACTGTGCCTGATGGGGGTGGGCCAGCTGGAGGCAGATTACTTTATCCTTTGTTTGCTGAGAGATAAAGTTACAGCAGCTCTGTTCAGATGTTTCTTCTGACTCTCACAAGCTCAAAGTCTCCTCCAGCCTGGCCTCCTGCTCCACCCGCCAACAGGTGTTGGCCGATAAAGATATCAGGCTAGGGTTTTCAACAATACTAAAACAATCAAAACTGTATGTTGCAAAAGGACAATGACCAAGCATGGATACAAAGAGGTGATAGGAGAAAGCATCTCCTCAGCCGCTTTGCTGGGGAGCTATAGGTGGGGAAGTGGATAGAGTGCCAGGCCGGAAGTCAGGAAGACTCATCTTCATGAGTTCAAATCTGACCTCACACAATTTACTAGCCGTATGACCAGGGCCAAGTCACTTCACTCTGTTTGCCTCCTTTTCCTTATCTGTAAAATGAGCTGGAGAAGGAAATGGCAAACCACTGCAGTATCTCTTCCAAGAAAATTCCAAATGGGGCCACAGAGAGTCAGACACGACTGAAACAACTCAACAACAACACTGAGAGATGCTATGCAGAGGGGGAGGTCTGAGAATATGGAATATGGCATACATATTCAGATCAGAATCTAGGAATTTAGTTTTGCCGAACTGTTTTTCCTCCCTCTCTTATAAGCATTCATTGGCTTTCTATGAGGGAGAGGACATGAAAATATATTGTGAAATGTAGATGAGGCAAAAATAATTATTTACTTTAAAAATAAAAAATTTATCTAAAAAAACTGTCTTCTTTTAGATTTAGTAAAAAGCACAAATAAAAAGGAAAACACAAAAGTATGGGAAAATTTCTTTGCTTGAAATTAGACAAATGGGGCAGCTAGGTGGTGCAGTGAATAGAGCACTGGACCTGGAGTCAGGAGAATCTGAGTTCAAATCCTGGCTCAGACATTATTAGCTAGGTGACCCTGGGCAAGTCACTTAACCTTGACTGCCTCCAAAAAGAAAAGAAAAAAAAAAAAGAAATCAGATGATTACTAATACATTTATAAATCTGGGTTTAAGTCATACCTCTGACACTAATGTGTGCGACCCTAGGCAAGTTACTTGACCTTTCAGGGTACCATGGAACTCTCTAAGACTATAAGACACTGGTGGTGTGAATATCCCAACCTGATGAAATGACAGGTAAGGACTAAACCAAAAAATAATAAATATGGTACAGTAAGAACACTGTATCTGTATTCAGAGGAACTGGGTTCGAACGCTGAATTTGCTAACCTGTGTGAACTTTGTTAGAGAGATTAAATCTTTCTGAGCCTCATCTTCCTGTTCTATAGAAAGGAAAAGTTATATGAGAACAGCCCCATGAACCCTTTCAGCAGTCAATGATATTACCTCACAGGTAGATTAGCAGAATAGCATGTAAGGAAGAACAAAATTCCTCAGTGAAAACAGCTCACACGATTCACTTTTCAGCACATCGAATCCACGTTAATTACCTTTGCAGCTTCAACCATGCGGGCAGTGGAGTCGGCCAAGAGTTTTGCAGCTGCCAGAAGCTTTTTGGAATTCTCCATGTCGATTTCAGCCTCGGCATCTGACCTCATGGCATTGACGAGGTCTGAGGTAGCTTGCGCGAGGACTCTGGCCTGCCGTACCATTTCACCTAGGGGATGAGACAGGTGAGCGTAGATACTATTCAAACCTCTGCTCTCTTAGACGTTTTAGAGGCGTCTGTTCTCTGCTAATGAGGATACAAAAATGGAGAAGTTAAGCCCTATGTAAAAAATACTCAATCCCTCTACCAGCCTCTTGGAATAGCAACTGCAGACTCAACACCTTACCAGAAAGACAAAGAAAAGAAACGTCTTCTGTGGAAGCCAAGCCTGCACGTCCTAAATAACTAGAATTTAATTATCCTCTGCACAGAATTAACATGAATAGAGAAACAAACTGGATTGAATTCTTATAGGACAAAAAAGGGCATCCTCTCTTTTAATAAAGCCTAGAAGGAGGTTGAGGTAGTGTAAGCTTTTATTTTAAACACAAATATACACATTTACTAAATGTGGAAAAAAAAATCCTTTTGCTTTATAATTGAATAATTATAATATATTATAATTATGTCATAATTATAATAATTTCATGAATAATTATTTATGGAAGATACAGAAAATATTTTTTAAGAGTTGTGTACTATCACTTAGTAAGTCGTGCTACAGAGAAACACATCTATTAGTCTGAAATAGAGTTGCTCCCAATTTCAGCACAATCCCTGTAATGAACTCTGTGAAGTTTTCTCAATACAACAGATACCTCTCTTTATCATTTACACTGAGTAGGACCAATTCACTTTCTCTCTCCTCACCCCTGCCCAAAATCTTTAAAGGAATCAAGAAATAAACATGTCCAAATCAAAGCCACTTACCAGCATCTCCCATTGAGCTGAAGATGCTCTCAGTAACACACATGATGGTGTCAGTTGCCTGGTCATAGCGGCCAATCGGCTCTCCTCGGCTAGCAAACTGCCGGACATGCTGCAGGAGGTCGTGTAAGGCCTGGCTGACCACGCTGGCTGCTGCGCTGACCTGCTTCAGCAGCTCACTATCATCTGTGGCATCCTGGCAGGCGCGGACGCAGTTTTCCACTGAACGGTCCACAAGTTTTCCAGCCTCAATCAATTGTTCCTGGCACACAGGGGAGCTGAGGGTGGGGCTCACTACCTGCAAGAGGACGCATACAGAGGCATTGGAACTACAGGGTGGTTTTAATCAATCCCAACTATGTGTAAGCATCTCTCAAAAAAAAAACAAAAACAAAAACAAAAAACTGCTGCAAGGTCTGGGTTCTGTTCATGCTCCAGAAATCATGGTATAATCTTCCTGCGTATGGCCCCTTGCCTGCCTTCCTATCTTCAGATCTAGGCTCAAAAGGGTCAATAATAGACTCCACTACCCCTTCTTTGCAAAAGTGGGCTGGGAGAGTGCCTATGAATGTAGAACAGTGTATATACTGACAGATGCAGGTGACTATTGCTTGGTACAGTTAAAGCTGCTCTTTTCTTTTTAAAATCTTTCCCCCCACAAAGGATGGTTCACTATGTAAGGGAATTAGGGTCATATATGTGGAAATCAACCATTCAACAAGCATTTATTAAGCACCTATGATGTGCGACGAAGGGTGCTAGGCAGTAGGAGTACACATTGAAAAAGAGAAACAATCCCTAATCTCAAATTAAGTTATATGAACAATAACAGTTAACATTTATATAGTGCTTTAAGGTTTGTAAATTGTGTTACATGCAATGAAGGTGATATAAAAATAAGATATTAATAAAGATGAGAAAATAACTAAAAAAAAAATCTCAGTCCATGGCCACCTCTTCCTGGAAGTATTGCCTAATTGCTCTCATCTACTTTATAGCCACTAAGTAAAAGTTAACACAAATCTGTACTGATTATTACATTTATATGTGATCAATTTTCAAATTCCTAAGCTAATGAAGGGAAGCAATGGCAAAGGTAATTCAAAATGGCAGATAAATCCCCAATTTACTGGAGTATATTTTTATATATAGGGGAAAGTGGGTATAACCAATGTAGGAATTTGCAACACTTAAAACAGAGTCCACAAGTAATCAAGAACTGATTGCATGGACTTCTGTATCTAGACTCTCAACATGTATTTTTTGATTGCCTGTTGAGAACATGTAATAGTAAGACCAACAGTATCTAAGTACACCTAAAATGTTTTTTGAGAAATTTCACTAAAAACCTCATTGAGTACTAAATCACGTGAAAAACTTTTTGAAAATCTACTACCACGTTCATTCCCAAATCTATTAAATACAGTAAATTCTAATTTATACAGGATAGTTGAGAAATAACCTATTCTGGTTAATTAAACATTCTCATTATTTGAGTGAGATGCTCTGGTACTTCAAATTGAATTAGAATGCAATAAAATCTATTCAAATATAATGAACATTATTTAACCTTTCTTAAGGGCATTTCAGGGCCTTACATTTCAGGGCCATCATGAACACCAATTAACAATACGTAGTACTCTTACCACCCTCCTCCCCTACAAAAAAAAAGAGGCGCTTCCTTCAAACAAACAATGGTACTTTAAGATTTGCAAAACACTTTATGAATATTTTCTCAGTTGATCAGAACAATCACTCTGGGAGGAAGGTGTTATTATTATTATCCCCATTTTACAGATAAGGAAACAGAGGCAGAGAGAGATCAGGTGATAACTTCTGAGGTCAAATTCAAACTTAGATCTTCCTGAGTCCAGGTCCAATAAATACCATGCCACCTACTTGCCCAACCAGGACAACATAAAAATAAGTATTTCTGATATTCTCCAATATAAATTCTTTCCAAGAGTAACATCTGGAATGAGCTTAATGCGTGGGAATTAACACGTAAATAGTTGTTATTCTTTCATAAAATAAAACAAAACAAAACAACCAAAAAAAACAATAAACAAAAAAAACTAGTCCCAAACTAGACAACTAGATGATTCAGTGGATAAAGACCTGGGCCTAGAGTCAGGAAGACCTGAGTTCAAATCCAATCTCTGACCCTATTTGCCATGTGACTCTGGGCAAGTCACTGAACCTCTGTTTGCCTTAATACACTGGAGAAGTAAATAACAAACCACTCTAGTACCTTTGCTAAGAAAACCCCATGGACAGTATTGGCATGCTACGGTTCACGGGGTCATGAAAAGTCAGATACGAATGAACAACAATAAAAGTCCCAAGGTTCTCTTCTTCCCCCAAAAGTCAGAGTTATATCTCACAGAGAACACAAAAACGATTGCATAGATCATCAATGGTATAAACCACTGATTGTTCATATTCACTTAAAGGTTTTGGGAGGGAGATAAGAATAGAGATCAGAACTATGATTCTGACTCCCAGGTGAGTAAATTCCGTCTACCAAAGCAGGTTGGTACCTGCAATTTACAGTCTTAGAAAACTGCCTAGAGTAGAGGTGTCAAACTTGGCAAACCTTCAAAAACTCTCCTAAACTAGACTGAAATGTAATTGGGAAATGCTTAATAAAATAAAAATATGATATGACATTGATAATGTTAATTGGTGGTTTTCTAAGTCAATGTATGGCCTGCAGGGATCAGTTTCTACTTGAATTTGACACCACGGGCCTAGAGTACTAATAGGCTAAGGGACTTGCCCAGCATCAAACAGCCAACATGATTTAGAGGTCAGACTTGATTGAACTTAAGTCCTCCCGGCTTTGAGGCCAGCTGTCTATCCACTACTCCAAGATGCTTTCCTTCCTTAATAGTGAGAGAGAGGTAAAACTAGGAAGACTACATAGGTCCCTAGCAATTAATTTTTGGCTAACCTGTCCCAGCTCTGAGATCCTTTGACCCCTACCCCCCAAAACAACAATAAATCAAGGCTTTTATTCTAGCTTATCCCCATTACATATAATGCTTGCTGAAGTGTTTTAGGTAGATGCTACTTATCATTTTAAGACTCTGTTTATTCCTATGCTCTCTAGTGTTTTTAATGGGAATGGGTGTTGTATTTTGTCCAAAGCTTTTTCTGCATCTATTGAGATAATCATGGGGTTTCTGTTAGTTTCGTTGTTGATATGGTCAATTATGCTGATAGTTTTCCTAATACTGAACCAGCCCTGCATTCCTGGTATAGATCCTACCTGGTCATAGTATATTATTCTTGTTATAAGTTGCTGTAATCTTTTTGCTAATAATTTATTTAAAATTTTTGCATCTACATTCATTAGGGAAATTAGTCTATAATTTTCTTTTTCTGTTTTGACTCTTCTTGGTTTAGCCATCAGCACCATATTTGTATCATAAAAAGAATCTGGTAGGACTCCTTCTTTGTCTACTTTCTCAAATAGTCTATATAGTATTGGAATTAATTGTTCTTTAAATGTTTGATAGAATTTGCTTGTAAATCCATCTGGCCCTGGAGATTTTTTCCTAGAAAGTTCATTGATGGCTTGTTCAATTTGTTTTTCTGAGATGGGGTTATTTAAGTATTTTACTTCCTCTTCTGTTAATCTGGGCAATTTATATTTTTGTAAATATTCATCCATTGCACTAAGATTGTCAAATTTATTGGCATACGGTTTGGCAAAATAACTCCTAATTATTGTTTTAATTTCCTCTTCACTGGTGGTGAATTCACCCTTTTCATTTTTGACACTGGTAATTTGGTTTTCTTCTTTCCTTTTTTAAATTAAATTAATCAAAGGTTTATCTTTTTTATTGTTTTTTTTTTCATAAAACCAGCTCTTAGTTTTATTTATTAGTTCAATAGTTTTCTTACTTTCAATTTTATTAATCTCTCCTTTGGTTTTCAGTATTTCTAATTTGGTATTTAATTGGGGATTTTTAAGTCAAGGCTTTTATTACAAATAAGACTCTGCAGCTCTGCCCAGTGAGTCGCCTACTTCACTTCTCTAAGAGACTCGTGTACCCAGATATCTTCACAACGACACTGTTAACTATGAGATGGCTACTCAAGACAACCGACACCTTTCCAAGAGTGAGTTACACAACTCAGAAATCTTTTTTGAACAGAATGTGAAAGAAAGAACAAGAACTCCAACTGGGAACACTACCAGATTTACAAAAGCTGGTATATGAGCAAACACTTTTGTTGTTATTGAGTTAAATTGTGTCTAATTGTTCATGACCCCATTTAGGGTTTTCTTGGCAATGATACTGTCGTGGTTTGCCATTTCCTTCTCCAGTTCATTTTACAGATAAGGAAACTGAGGCAAACAGGGTTAAAGGTCACACTGCTAGTGTTTGAGGCCTGATTTGAACTCATCAAGATGAGTCTTTTCCTGATTCCAAGCCCAGTGCTCTATCCACTGAGTCACTTAGTTGCCTTAGGACACCAAAGAAAAGTACCAACTCTCTAAGGGTCAATGCACTAGTCACAGTTTGCAGGGGATATAAAAAGGACTGAGGGGCTGGAATGCAACTCCACCAAAGCCACCTGGAGACACCTGAAACCATTCCGAACAAAAATCAGCGCAGTCCTCAGCAGCCACAAGAGTGGGAGCCCCACAGCCAAACACAACCTTACCTTAGCACAGGCCACCAGCTGGGAGGTGGAGAGAGCACATTGGGTGGCCGCAGCGATCACTCTGTTCTGCAGAACGGTGTCCTCCGCCACCTGTGCAACATTCTTTGCCTTCAGCACCAGCATGGCGGCAGCATTAGCGACGGCTTTGGCTAAACTCATTAGCACATCCTGCAAAAAAGAAGCAAACAATAAGGAATCTTATTTTTCATTTACTTCCTCCCTTAGTCCAGGAATAAAATGAGATATTTACTTGGGTGCTTAGAAGAGTCTTTGGCAATCATACAATAGGACAACTTGCAATCCTGACATCATATTATTTTTCTCATCCAATAAGTAGTCTGAAATACATCAATTTTGGGGAATGGGTTTCCATTTTAATAACTGGTTCACATGTACCAGACTTTCAGAATTAAGCCCTTAATTTAATTTGTTTTTTTTTCCATTTTTCCAAGATACTCTATAAATAAAATGGCAGAGTATTATAGTAGGAAGGGACTTGAGAAATTAAATCAGAATCAAATCAGTTCAGTATTTCCTAACCCAAATGATATTGTGGATGGTAAATATTTAAATTCTATTCAGTGAAGCACTGTCTGCTTCAGCAGTCTCGAAATACTGGTTTTCAATGGTTCAAGAGTCAGGTGCTAGAAGACAGGGTTAGGGTGGGAGAGGAGCAGATCACAGGTAAAAATTTTAAAGATTATACCTTTTCAGTTTAAAATAATGGATAAAAAATGGATGTTTTAAGGAGTGAAAGCGTTGTTAAGAGATAGATAAAACCTTTACTAAATGCTCACAACTGTAGACCAGGAAACATTTCTCCTGAATTAAACATCTATTTAGTCCAATACTGTCACTTTCTAGATGAGGAAGGAAACTGAGGCCAGGAGAGATCATGTGAATTATTCAAAATCAAACAATCAAGAGAGTGGAAAATGTGAGCCTTGAACTCAGTTCTTCTGATTCTTGGGCTAGGGCTCTTTTTATGTTGACTCTGATGGTAAGTAAAAATAAACTTGGAAATACAACCAACTTTCACAAATGCCATCTACAATGTTTGTCCACACCAGGTGAATATTTTTACTACAATGTGGAAAAAATCATCTTTTTAGACAACTGCTTTTTCAAACAGTTGAAATTCTCATCAGTAAAGTACGAAAAGTTTGGCCTCCAGAGGACAATACCAAAACACCCGGAGGAAGACATCGTATCTTGAAGTTAAATGTAGATTCTAAGGAATCAGTTCATCTTAAAGGTAGTCCTACCTTCTCAGACATGTTTGATAGAATCAAATATGATGAAAACTTGAAAAAAAAAATTTTTTTTTAACTAGAAACTAGAAAAATTTTTCTTTCACCTTCTGGCTAAAGAGGGAGAGAGCTGTGAACTCTCATAAAATAGGAAACACTGGGCAAAGGATATAGTGTATGTGGTTAAATCTTGTCTTGTTGACATACAGTGAAATGGGTATTACATCTGTGGAAAAAAGAGCAATTTCACTTCTTTAACTGGATAGTCACCCACCTGTCTAGTTTGCTGATCAATGATATACTAGGTTTGGTTTATTTTCCTTGATCAATTTAAATAAACACAAGCATTTATTGTTTGTACCTAGTATGTGCAAGATACCATGTGCACTTATTGTTTGTACCTACTATGTGCAAAGTACCCTGCTAGGCATTAGGAAAATGGAGGAAAATCAAACTGAGTAGTCTCAGACCTCATGGAGTTTACTTTCTTTTGAGAGAGACTACTGGAACACACAGGTAAATACACAGAAAATACAAGGCAACTTTCAAATTAAGGCACTATCAATCCAGGGAAAATACAAAAAATCTCATTAAGGAGTTGGTGTTTGAACTGAGATCTGAAAGAAACTAGGAACTCTAAAAGGTGGAGGTCAGGAGGGAGGGCACTTCCCCACAAGAAATGGCCAAATGGATGGTTTCTGGGAGACCTGGAAAAACATGCATGAGGTCCTACGGAATGAAGCCACGGGAGAATCAGGTTAAAGATGGGCAACTCTGAAAGACTTAAGAACTCTGATCAATGCAATGACCAAATATGATTTCAGGGGAATGACTGAGGAAGTGTGTGACCTGCTACCTAACAGAGAGCTGATGGATTTAAGGTGCAGAAAGAAAAAAAAGATTTTCAGATACAGGTAACATGATCATTTGTTTTGCTTGACAAATGCATATTTATTGCAAGAGTTTTGTTTTGACTTTTTTCAATGTGAGGAAGAGGAGGGGCACTAGTGATAGGTTGTAACTACTCTTCTCCCACCCCACCTCCAACAAAAAGAGAAAAGAGGATCATGGAACCATTAAAAAAAAAAAAAACAACAGAACAAAAGAAACGCCAGAAAAAACACATATAAGCAGCACAATTTTGAAAGTTACATGTAGAACGTATTATTATTTAAAAATAAAAGGAAGTTACATGTATAACCTATATCTGATTGCTTACAGTCTCAGGGAGAGGAGGGAAGAGAGAGAGAATTTGGAGCTCAAAACTTAAAAAAAAAAAAAATGTTAAAAAATTGTTTTAACATATAATTTGGGAAAAATAAAATGAAGCTTTATTTAATAGAGTCACGGTTTCACATACAATCCTCTTTCTCTATTCTACTTTGTATATGGAAATGGTTTTTTGTTTTGTAATTGTTAAGTCTTAAGTTTTAAAAAAAGAAAACTTTTTTTTTTTTTTTAAAGGAAGTGCATTCGAGACGTAGGGGCTGGCCTGAGCAGAGGAACAGAGATGAGAGATGGAATTCTACATATTAGAAACAGCAAGAAAGCCAATTTTGCTGGATGGGGTCACACGAGGAGAGTAATATATAAGGTTGGAAAAGAAGATTGGAGACAGGTTGCGAAGTCTTTGAAAGCCAAATCGACGAGTTTGTATTTGATTCTAAAGGTAATAAAAAGCCACTACAGTTTACGGAGCAGGGGAGTGAGACGGTCAAACCTGCGTTTTGGGAATATCACTTTGGCAGCCGTGTAGAGAACTAATAGAAGGGAGCTGAGACTAGAGGCAGGGAGATCAATTAGGAGACTGTTCCAATATTCCAGATGAGTGGGCCTCATCTAGGTTGTGACTGTGAATGGACAGAAGGAGATTGCTATGGAGATAAGACAGATAAGACCTGGCAATTGATTTGATGTGTGCCGTGAGAGAATGACTCTGAGACTGCAACCTGGGTGACTGGAAGGACAGGGGCCCCTCGAGAGAAATAGGGAATTTGGGGAAAGGGGAGGCTTGGAGGGAACGGTAATGATATGACTCACTTTGATTTAGAAATGCTGGTCCAAAATAGACAAGCCATTTTTATTTTAATAAGAATGTCAAGGCATTCCCCTCCCTGGAGAAAACCGGGAATAGAGGTCTTTATTAGTTCACTTGATAATGAAAAACACTCTAAAATCAGAGTGGTTTTTTTGGGGGGGGGCAGGGGGAAGACCCAGTATCTTTAAATGTAATATTTCTTACATTTTCTTTTTTCCCCCCTCTCATCTTTTGAAGGATTTCTTGTTACCTTACTGTGTCATTGTCTTCTGTTTAGCCTGTTTTAACTTTGAGGGCTTTCAGTTCTTAGGTGAGGTTCTGTTCTAAGTTGTCCATTTTTCCTACTCTTCCTTTCTATTCTTTCGTCCCTCACGTTTCCATTCTGTTTCCTCAGTTGCATTTTTCCAGACACTCTTATAGTCTCGGTGGCCAGGTCATTTTTTTCTCTGCGGCTTCCTGGACTTCCAATGGGGTTGATATTCTCCTTGGGGTTTATCCTCTGGGTGTGTCTCAAACCAAGGTATTTACTCGTGGTATCAGGGTTTTCCCTTGTTTGTTCATCTTATCCACTTCAGTAACTAGATTGTGGGGCCTGGCTTGGTCAGCCTCTGCAACTGAATGCCTGGTCCCCAGTATGGTGGATGAGAATAGGCCCCTCTTCTCAGGGACTCTGGGGAACCTCTGCTGAGCTCTTCCTGGAGGCTCCCCCTTGTCAAAGGGCTTCGAATTTTCCTTTGCCACCTGTTGTAGCTTCCAGCCTGTGCTGGGTTCAGGGGGTACTGCCATGCTGGGCTCCTGCCTTAGTCTGTAGTACCATGCATAGGCTGGATTTCTTGCAGGGACTTCCTCCAGCCTCACTAGATCCTGCCTGGAACTCCCTGGGCCTGTTCTCTCTTTAGCCACAGTCCTGTCTCCATGGGCTCTCACACATGCCCATTTCTCTCCTTTGACACTGACACAACCCTGGTGAAGGCCCACATCATCATGCCCAGGCTACTGCAGTAGCTGCTGGTGGGTCTGCCTGCCTCAGGAGCTCCCCATTTAAGTCTACCCTCCATTCAGCTACTGAATTGACCTTTCTTTTTTAGGCACTTGGGGTTAAGTGCCCAAGGTCACACAACTAGTTAAGTGTCAAGTGTTTGGTCTGAGGCCAGATCTGAACTCAGGTCCTCCTGACTTCAGGGCTGGTGCTTTATCTACTGCGCCACCTAGTTGCCCCATTGAATTGACCTTTCTAAAGGGCAAGTCTGACAATGCCACACCTCCAACACACATCCCATTCAGATAACTCCCAGGGTTCCCTATCACCTTGAGGATTAAATAAAAAATCTTGTTTGGCAGTCAAGGCCCTTTGTAACCTGCCCTCCAGTCATTCTCTATGTTATAACTACACTCATGTACGACACCAGCCTGCATGCTGTTCATTACACAAGAAACTCCAACTCCCAACTCTGGGCATTTTCAGTGGCTATCTACCATGCCTAGAACTCCCTTCTATCTCTGCCTCCTGGCTTCCTTCAAGAACCAGCTAAAATGCCACCTTCTCTAAAAAGCCTCTCCTGATCCTCCTTAATGCTAGTGCTTCCTTTCTGTTGATTGATTATCTCAAATTTATCCTGTCCATGTTTTGTTTCAAGGCAGCTAGGTGGCATCGTATTGGATACTGGATAGAGAGTTGGGCTTGGGGTCTGGAAGCCTCATTGCCCTGAGGTCAAATCTGGCCTCGGACACTTCCTCGATGTGTGACCTTGGGTAAGTCACTTAATCCTGTTTGACTCAGTTTCCTCATCTGTCAAATGAGCTGGAAAAGGAAATGGCAAATCACTCCAGTATCATTGCCAAGAAAACCCCAAAAGGGGTCACAAAGAGTCGGACATAACTGAAACAAGTGAACAACAATAAGAAACGGCTGTTTGTACATGGCTGTTTTTGGGATGTTTCCCCCAATTAGATTGTGAGCTCCTTGATAGTAGGGATTGTATTTTGCCTTTCTTTCTATCCCTAGTGCTTAGCACAGGGCCACACACTTAACAGGTGCTTAATAAATGCTTACTGACTGATTGACTGGGCTTTGGGGATGCCCTCAGATGACTTGTACCATGTTGGACCCACTGGGAAAGCCTTAGGCTGCTCTCCTGGGCTAGGTTTCTAGTGGCTTTGGGTTTTTCTGAGTGTTTGATATATATATATATATATAGGAAGATAGGGAAAGAAAAAGAATAAGCATTTATATAGTCCTTACTACGTTCCAGGCACAGGGCTGAGTGCTTTCTACAAATACTATCTTTGTTTGTTTTTTTTTTTTTTGGTTGGGCAATGGGGGTTAAGTGACTTGCCCAGGGTCACACAGCTAGTAAGTGTTATGTGTCTGAGGCCACATTTGAACTCAGGTCCTCCTGAATCCAGGGCCGGTACTCTATCTACTGTGCCACCTACCTGCCCCGTACAAATATTATCTTATTTGATCCTTGCAACAACACTGCAAGGCAGACACTATTATTATGCCCACTGTACAGTTGAGGAAACTGAAGCAAATAGTGGTTAAGCAGCAGGGTAATATAGCTAGTAAGTGTCTCAGGCAAGATTTGAACTCAGGTCTTCCTGACTCCAGGCCCACTGCTCAGTCCACTATGCCACCAGCTGCCTCGTATGAGATTGTCAATGGAAAATAAAGCATTTTGTACTGAAACCTGAAGGCAAATTCTGTGGAGAATAGGTAGGGTAAAAGCATTGTCAACATTTGCTCAGTACTTCTCTGTGACTGGGGACTCCATTCCCATTCCTCATTTATATGTCTCTTCTATATTTCTCAAAGAAATCCCTCTGAATGTTACGTTTTTAGAACCACTGTGACAGTTGGAAGGAACTTTATAGATTATTTAGGTCAGTATTTTCTCAAAATGTGGAGCAGGGAAACTGGAGGGGAGAGGAGTCCCAAAAGCCCTTACTGTGGGCCCATGAGATCAAAACTACTTTCAAAATAATACAAAGATATTTTAATTTCTAATTTCATAAAGATCAGTAGACATAACTCACATAGACAAAAACTATCTGGTGTCAATAATTTTTAAGAGTATCACGATACAGTCTTGAGACTAAAAAGTTTGAGAACTGCTAATACAGACTAATGACTCATTTTATATAGGAGAAAACAGGACCATTGTCAAGGTTTTTTTTTTTTAATTGTTCAATGGAGTTCACAGCATTGCTGCATGCAAATAACAAAACTCAATATTAAATAATGACAAGTATTTTAAAGAACTAAGGTTCATGTATAGTAGTCCCATTAATTAACCCTCTATTAGCTACTACAGTCGAATGAAAGGATTAGAAGAATTTTTGACTTCAACCTGAATCTCTAGAGATATTTTGCATAATCTTCTCAGTATTAAAATACCCAAAGAGAGTTTAAAGAGGACATTTTTAGGAGAAGAAAGGTAATGGATTTGACTCATTTAAGTAGTAGTAAATTTGCAACCCAACTCCATATCTATTTAACTCTTTCTTGTTTGCCCTACAGAATAGAAATCTGTAATTCTAAAGTAGTCAACCACAGAGAATGTGATTCTATTCTCAAAAAGTGAAAACTGAAGAAAAGGAACAGGTGCCTATCTGCTGGGGGCACTGGGTTTTTCTTGTTGTTCAGTCGTATCCGATTCTTCATGACCCCAGGGATCACAGCACGTCAGGCCCTTCTACCCTCTGCTGTGTCTTAAAGTCTAAGTTCCTGTTCCATATTTCTATTAGACTATCTGTCATTGCTGTCCCCTTTTCCTTTTGCCTTCAATTTTTCCCCACATCAGGGTCTTTTCTAATGAATCCTATCTTCTCATTATGTGGCCAAAGTATTTAAGCTTCAGCTTCAGTACTGGAAGTGAATAGTCTGAACTAATTTCTTTGAGTATTCACTGATTTGATCTCCCTCCTGTTCAATGGGCTTTCAAAAATCTTCTCCAGCACCACAATTCGAAAATGTCAATTCTGCAACGCTCAGTTTTCCTTACAGTCCAACTCTCACAGTCATACATTGCTACTGGAAAAACCACAGCTTTGACTATACAGACCTTTGTCAGCTGGGTGATGGCTCTGCTTTTTAGGAGGCTGTCCAGATTTGTCGTAGCTTTCCTTCCAAGGAGCAAGCATCTTTTAATTTCATGGCTGTGGTCATCATCTGCAGTGACCTTTGACCCCGAGAATATAAAATATGACACTCCTTCCATTTCTTCTCCCTCTGTTTGCCAGGCAGTGATGGGTCCAGTTGCCAAGATCTTAGTGTTTTTGACGTTAAGCTTCAGGTCAGCTTTTACATTCTGTTCTTTCACCCTCATCAAGAAGCTTCTTAATTCTGCTTCACCTTCTGCCATCAGAGTGGTATTGTCTACATATCTGAAATTGCTGATATTTCGCCCAGCAACCTTAATTCCAGATTTTGATTCATCCAGCCTGATATTTAACAGGATGTACTCTGCATATAAGTTAAATAAATAAAGTGTCACACTCCTTTTCCCGTCTTAAACCAATCAGGTGTTTTATGTTCGGTTCTAACAGTTGCTTCTTGGCCCACATACACGTTCCTCAGGAGACAAGTAACTGACAATCTGGTATTCCCATCTCTTTGAGGACTTGCCACATTTTGTTGTGATCCACACGAAGGCTTTAGTGTAGTCAATGAAGCAGAAGTAGATGTTTTTCTGGAGCTCCCTTGCTTTGTCCATAACCCAGTGAATGTTGGCATTAGGTTTCAGTGCCAGGCATTTTCCTCTATTTCTCCCAACACCCAGGATAGGTGATGAGGTTTCCTGATTTGGAAAAGAAGAGAAGTTTTCCAAGGGAAGGTCTCCTTCTCTCAGTAGCCCACTTAGGTCATATTCCTGATTCCTTCCCCTTAAATGTAATGGGGAGGCAGAAAAGCAAACAGGAGCCTGCTTCCAGGGCTTCAAAATGGTGACACTGTCAGTACATCAGGCAGGCTGCAAATAAAGCCTGGAGCTGCTCACCAGTGGATACATCACATCATTGGTAAGGAAAGGGTTACACACTGGCTTTTATTTTAGGTATCCTTCTAGAGTTGGACAGTACATAATCATGAGCTCTTCTCTAAATATAAAAGCATATGCATATGTATGCATAAACATAATAATGACAGCTAATAGCAAGAATTTATATAGTGCTTAAAGTTGGCAAAGCACTTTATAAATGCTATCTTGTAACAACCCTAACAGGCAGGCCCATTTTATGACGAAACTGAGGTACACAGAGGTTAAATGACTTACCCTGGGTTACACAGCTAGTCGAGTATCTAAAGCCAGATTTGAATTCAAGTCTTCCTTACTCTGACTCCAACATTCTATCCACTGCACCATCTAGTTGTGTGTGTGTGTGTGTGTGTGTGTGTGTGTGTGTGTGTATGTACATACATACATATGTGTGAGTGGATAGGAGAATAAAGGTAGAGCTTCAAAGGGACCTTAGAAGTTGCCTTGATCACCCTTCCTCATTTTGTAGATGAGGCCCAGAATGGTGAAATGATTTGTCCACAGGCAGTAAAGACAGGGTTTCAACACAGGTCCTCCAGCTCCTAATACAGTTCCCTTTACACTGTACCATATTATGCATGGATGTTCACTCACTGGGTATAGCATAGTTGGAATTCCTTTTGTATAGGGGTTGGACTAGATGAATACTGGGGCAGCTAGGTGGCGCCATAGTGCATAGAATACTGGGCCTGGAGTCAGGAAGACTCACCCTCCTAAGTTCAAATCTGGCTTCAGACACTTACTAGTTGTGTGACCTTGGACACATTACTTACCCCTGTTTACCTCAGTTCTTCATCTATAAAATGAGCTGGAGAAGGAAATGGCAAACCATTCTAGTATCTTTGCTAAGAAAACCCCAAATGGAGTCATGAGGAGTTGGACACAACTGAAATGAATGAACAACAACAAAATAGCAAGAGGCTTGTCCCAACTCTCTAATTCTGTGAGAGTATGTATGTGTGTGTGTGTGTGTGTGTGTGTGTGTGTGTGTGTGTGTGTGTGT